TACTGTATCTGTGGATGTAGAACGGGCTCCTAAAGTCGTATTGTCCAAGAGCAATACGGAAAAACTCTCTCATCCCCGTCCACACAATTGTCGGACAATGCATGGCGACATCCGCGCGGTATCTGCGGGCAGCGACGTTTGAGTGTTGGACAGAAAAGAAGTGACGTGAGAGGGGAGGTGAGCGAGCGGGACACAAACGCGACAGTCACCGAGCAGAGCTCGCCGGAGGGGAGATGGATGCTATGAAGCGGTTCCATCGTCAAGCTTGGAATTTATGAGCGCGTTATTTCTTCACTTTGATTTGAAAACTCAAGAGTAAAAATCCGGCGTCGTGTACGGCGGCAGTTCGATGGCATCCATGTAAAGTGATATTAGTTTTATGACGAAGGTGGGAAAACACGAAAAGAGAAAGCAGCTTTCACAAGTCGTAAAAAGTCACATCACGAGAAGACTCCACGACTGCATTTTCAATTTATACACACTTTTACGACATGAAGTACAGCAATAATGTGACCGCTCACACTTGCTCGTGGCCCTCCCCAACTACTATTTTGTCTTTTCCGCGTGAACAATTTGACAGCGGTAGCTAGGCAACAATGGAACCTAAAGCTATCGTCAGCAGCTGAAACGCGTTTTATCTCGACATCCTCGAGCAGTAAAAGCCAAAGTGGGGCTTCGCCTAAAATCTCTCCCTTCTGTCACATCAAGCTTTCGCCCGCCTGTCTTAAGTGGCTCATGCTATATCGCCTTTTCCCAACAATGGAGAAGGTGGGTTGGGGGGGCAAAAATGATTACTTACGGAGGCTTCACTGTAGACCGTCGACGGGTAAAAAAAAAACTGTAAATTCTCGGTGTGAATGTTGACAGTTTCATACTGAAAAGTGAAATAACACCCCAGGCTTGAAAGTTGGAAGGCCCTGAGGATGTTGGAACTCCACATGAGAACCGCGGTGCCAGCATAAAGTCAACCACCTGACTAAAAAAAACACACTTACGATCACTTGATGTGATGAAACAATCTGATGCTAGTCACTGGGTGTCAAAACCGCAGTGCTGAGCAGTTTGCTCTCTTTTTCACAAAACTCACGTCATTACAGTAAGTCGGTCAACCACAGCGAGCGGCGCACAACCGCTAACTGCTGCTAATCCGTAGCATTGTTAATGCGGCGCTTATGTTACCGTAGCGGCTAGTGCTAATGCTATACCGATAATGGCTTGCGTATGTCGTCTCTGTGTTATGCGAAGGTCGTGCAAGGCGGCAAAGGAAATCAACACACACAAAGAGAAAAGTCGTTTTGAGAATGTGTACATCGAATGCCGTTGTCAAGAGTTACCGAGATTAAAATTGTGTGGATGTTTTTTGGGCAAACTAATCTTGCTTCCTCTGAATTTAACATCCTCATACAAAGTATAATACAGCTGTCCTAAAAGGCACCCCCCCCACACCCCCCATTTTCCTTTCAGATATCACTGGAACAGACACGGGGCCATCAGCGACTGACAGCTTCGCCTTTGCAGTTTTTGTAGGCACATCATAACCTTGCCCACGGCTCACGAATTGACACTGGGAAGCTGCATTGCAAAATTGCTGACTGGCAAGAACATTTCATGTCCCCGACTGCGGTTCAGCCCCAGTTTCGGAAGCTTTACGGCCGTCAAACTGCTCCATAGTACAATTAACATGACCAGTTTCTCGAAACAGAGTCTGTTCTTGATACACCAGGCAGTGGAAGCTTGCTACTACCACCACTGATGAAAAAAAAAAAAAGGAAAAAAATGCTGGCGCAGGTGCTCGCACAAAGCCAGGGAAAGAGTGTGAATCACTCCTCCATTATTGACAAACGTACCCTCGGCTCTTGGGGAAATTAGCGGTTTGGTAGCGACGGGTCTTTCATCTCTTTGGTCGGGTAAACTGACACAACTGTCAAACGTGGGGGGTGGGGAAATGAAACCCAGCGGGCATTCTTGAGGCTGAACGAGAGTCTCCGACGTTGGTGGTTAGGTGCGTCGTCTCCAACACTGGGTTGATTGGACCCTTCTTCTTCCACGATGTAGCCGGTAACACAATCATCAACATTTTTGAGGCCGTTTTGATGAAAGTTTCAAATTGGCACTGAACTGCATGCAGGGACAGAAATGGAAAAAAAGAAAACGATTTTGCAACACTACTCCAAAGCCAATTGGGAAGCCACATGCAGGTCCTTTGTGATGCACTCGACACGTACGGGTCTCTTATTGCCAAGACTGGATTCATGTCGACATGGCCTCATTTATTCATTATCCTTAAAGTGTCCTTCCCCCGAGCACAGACTAGACAGTAGCTCATTGATATATCAGTCGTGGCTGACTAGGTTAAAACAAAAACAACACACCTAGTAGGACAAGATCTTTAAATAATTAACCCGGCAAGACTATGCATAGCCTGTGATATATGGCCGCCGAGAGGAACAGTATGAAAATGACACCGGTGGGATTCTGGTGAGACATCTGCAAAGTGGTGCTACAAGAAAATGTGAAGAAAAAAAAAATGTTGGCAGTCAAGGAATGATTTCATCTACCAGCAGACTTCCTCGTCCTGGAAATGAGGGTGAAGTCCAGACAGACGTTTTTTTTTTTACAAGTATTTGTGTGCCCGTGTGCTGCATGTGATGGGCGGGTCACTGGAAAAAAAAAAAAAAAAAACTAACCTCAAGCCACCAGACAGCTAAATAAAAGCCAGATGACACTGATCTACTCTGACTCAACCTCAGGACAAGAGAATTCTGTCTGTCGCATCAAGAGACGAACATGCGCAGACAGCAGTCTAGACAACAAAATAACTTCCGCCAAATCACCTGGGAATGCTCCCGGTTTACGCGGTTTCTGCGTCAAGCAAACACAGCGGCACACGGGTGCAAGCATTTTTCTCAAATTCATGCATTGGGTCAAATTTCGGGAAGTGATACCGTCAATGAAACAGAAGTCATGCTGAAGTAGTGCGTTGACGAAATGTACCCCGTCCCATCCAAAAAAAAAAGAAAAGAACAGCAAAGTATTTATGATCCACGTCAGCTGAAGGGCACCTGGACAGTAGTTTGAAACAGACTAACATCCCTTCAACATGTACCTGCCATTTATTGGTCCACGGCATTCAATTTATTTCCCCCCCAGAGGGACTTGAATGGTGACGCTCCAGTTCAAACGTGCAAGTCCTTCGAGAAATATGAAAGGGCAGACAGGCAAGGTCAGTCTCAGTTCCAATACAGTTAACTTAATCTAAGACAAAAGCTTTGAACGACGCCAGTGAGGGAGGCAGACGAAACAAACAAAACATGGAGCAAAAAGTTTGCTCCGTTGCTCCCAAGGCTTTTTTTTTTTTTCCGGCTTCGAAGAAATTGTGCGTTTGATTTTCTCTTCTTAAAGTCCCTTTACAATCACCCGTAAATTGATGCTAATAAAGCTTCGTATTGACGACCAATTGTTTCACTTCAGTGAGACATCACTAATAAAAGTGATGTCAAATGTATTCTATTGTGTGGAGAATTACACCAATCGTTGACTCATGTTAATGATGAACAATAATCCAGATCGTAAGAAGCAGCGCGCACCCTCCAGGTGGCCAACAATTTGAGATTTTAGCGTACAGTTAAACAACAACGTCAGCGGCGTTATAAAAATTTCGATCCCCCCCATCTGTGTCGGAAACTTTCAAATGTTTGCAATTTCAGACGATGAAAATGCCGTTGTAAAGAAAACGGGATGGCCAAGACGACAGCTTTATTCATTCTTAGCAGA